AAGCCTGGCTCTCCACCTGGATTGAAACCCCCATGGAGTCATGGATGGTACTAAATTGGCGGCATCTGTAACTTTCACTCTATGCATCTGAAGAAGAGGGTTTATTACCCACAAAAGCTTATGCCCAAATAAATCTATTAGTCTTTAAGGTGCCACCAGACTCGTTGTTGTTTTTGTGGATACAGACTAACACAGCTACCCCCTGATTCCTGAGCAGAGGGCTTGTCTTCATGTACAGCGGTGCAGCCAACATAGTGCTGTCCCACCAATATAGCACTATCTTCCCGGGAGTTAGGTTAGCATAACTATGTCACTCAGGGGCGTGGATTTGTCACCCCCTTGAGCGACGTATTTATACCGATATAGGGCTGTAGCGTAGACCTGGTCCTAGTGTTGAATAGTGCTAAACGGTGCGGTGATTCTGCGATGGAAAGAAATGCCTCCAGGGAGTAAGGCTATTTACTATTTTGGGGTAGGGACTGTCTCTGTGTTAGGACATTTATCCAGAGCCTCCCTCCACTTCCTGATCGTCACAACACACAATGCAATACCCACTACACATAAATGATAAGGATACTAATTTCCACTTGTGGTCTAGTTCTGAGGCCTCCCAGGTGTGACAGACTGATGCAGCATTCAGACTCTCTCCAAGCGTACATTGATTTTAACTATTGTGTTGAGTGGCAGAAGAGTTTTCATTCTTTATTGTAATTGTTTGGCTCCCCTGGCCCATGCTGTTTGTGGATATCGCGTGGTTAATGCAATGCACTTGCAAAGGTGAATTTCAGCCTAATACATGAGTTGCAGAGAAAAATGCTCTCCTGTAACTGACTCTAATTTACTTTCTATTTTTGTTGTCCTTTAGGAAGCAAACTGCTGATTTTGGTGCTTTGCTTGAACATCCAGTCGGAAGTGGAATCTTGCCCCGGGGCGTGTGTATGCTACAGTGAACCCAAGATCACAATAAGCTGTCAGCAGCAGGGACTGACAGTAATCCCCACTGAGATCCCCATACAGACCCAGCGCATCTTCCTGCACAATAACAAGATAACCCTGGTGAGGTCCACCAGCTTCAGTTCCTGCCGCAACATGACGATCCTTTGGATCCATTCCAACAACATCAGCCTCATCGAGTCCGGGGCATTTTATGGGCTTGACAAACTGGAGGAGTTAGACCTCAGTGACAATGTGAACTTGAAGTCCATCAATCCCACCACTTTCCGGGGTCTCATTCACCTTCACGCCTTACACCTGGATCGCTGTGGGCTCCTGGAGCTCTCCACAGGGCTTTTCCGAGGGTTGTTCTCCTTGCAGCATCTCTACCTTCAGGATAATAACCTGCAGAACCTGCTTGATGACACTTTCCTAGATCTTGCAAATCTCACCTACCTGTTTTTGCATGGTAATAAAATTAAGAGCTTGTCAGAGAATGTCTTTCGTGGGCTGATCAACCTGGATCGGCTCCTGTTGCACCAGAACAGAATCAGCCTGGTTCACCGCAGGTCTTTTCATGACCTGGGGAAAGTGATGACCTTGTATCTGTTCAATAACAACTTGACGGTGCTCACTGGAGAAACGATGGCTCCCTTGGTGTCCCTCCAATACCTTCGTTTAAATAGCAACCAGTGGATCTGTGATTGTCAGGCTCAGTCCCTCTGGAATTGGTTTAAACAGTTTAAAGGATCTTCATCGGAGCTGGAGTGCCATCTGCCCACTAACTTGGCAGGGAGAGACCTCAAAAGACTGCAGAGCAGCGACTTGGAAGGATGTATCGACTCTTTCAATCAGATAAGAACAAGTGTTTTTAGTACTAAGACCAGATCTGGCAAACTGCCAACCACCGACTCCCCACTAAATTCCCGGGACGGCACCCAGAAGTGCTGCCAACCGGAAACAGATAAATCCTTTATTTATGAAGCCAAGGGCAAGGCAAGTCCATCTTCACACAGCAGCCGTCCGTCCCCCAACAACCCTTTCAAAGACAAGGAGAACATGTCCAAGACCAAGTACATCGAAACGGACCCTTCCAAAAACGGGAGCAACAAGCAGATAAACGACTCCCCTTTTGGGACCTTCCCCAGCGTTGTAGACCCTCCATTGACCAAGTTGAAACCAGAATTCCTAGCTCCCATTCAACCCTCCACAGTCCCAACCAAAAAGAGGCAGGGATGCTCGAAAAAAAACAAGTCGAAGGCCCAGTGCCGCCTCACCCAACAAGGAAACAGCTCCACATTACAGCCAAGCCTAAATCTTTTGCTTCCCCTCTTGGTGTGGAGCTTACTGTTGTTCTGCTAAAAGCAACTCTTTCCCTTGGCCAATGACACGTGAACACCAGAATTTTGCTGACCTCCATAAATGTTGCAAGAGTGAAGCAAACTGCTATACACCCCAAGAAAGCTTTGTTACACAAAAGTTAACTGGATGCCTTTATAAAAAAAAAAGACAAAACCAAGATGTACATAATTTATTTGTCCTGAAACCTGTGAGTTATACCTTTGGTCTTTGGAACTGCACTTACTCACATAACAGCTGTTGCTACAGCAGATGGTAAAGAAATAGAATTTATACACACACACACACACACACACCAAAAGAGTATGTAAGAAAATGCTCCTGAAAGAATGTTTAAAATTTGTTTGTAACTTGAACTCATACTGAACGGCGTTGCAAGTTCCCATTTGCGGAGGTGATGCATTTGATGCTACTTTACTCCTATGTTTATGAATATTGCCGTTTTACCGTGTTCATTTCCGTCATGCCATGTTTATGGGCAGCATTTGTTAAAGAATGCTGCCTTTTCCTTCACTAAGATTGCAGTATATATAGATATGCATTTTATTTTACTTGTGTACAAGTATACAAAAAAATATAAAATAAAGATTTCTTTTTCCTAAGCTGTCGTCATCCGCAAGAGGTGAAGCATGCTGGTTAACTGAAAAGCTTGGAAAATAAAAAGGGGGTCAGATCTTCTCATTTAACTTCAGGCCTGGGAGGTAGGGTCCAATATTTAATGTGAAGGCGATAAATGAGACGTGCATTGCACCATTATGCAATCTTTAATTGGCACCAACAAAGGATTTCCTTGCATGAAACATACTGTGCTCCAGCTTCCCTTCCCACCTGTCCCACAGCTTCCCCCAACATCTCATGCATATTTCAAGATGCTCAGAATAGCTGGACATATTAACCCAGCCCCCTCCAAGCCAAACGTCCCAAACTCTTTGGTGTAGGACTGGTGACTAAGCAATCCTGAGCACTCACAGGACTCACATGGGGCATTTTTCTTTAGGCCTGTACAAATTACTGAATCTGACTGCTAATAGTCAGGAAGTGTTTCCAGAGCAATGCTGTGTTTACATTTGGGCTTCTCAACCAGGAACCATAGCCCCATTGCTGCTAGACAATAAACATGGCCTTGTGGTCAAGCAATGGCTGGGTATCAAGGAGATCTGGGTGGCCTGCCCCGGGGGTCTGGTGGAATTCACTTCATTAGCCCTGCAGCTCGCTTTCCCATCTGTATAATGGGGATAATGCACCCTCGTGTTATGAAGATAAATACATTGTTGTCAGTGAGGTGCTCGGATACCATGGTGATGGGCTCATAAAGTACCTTGGATAGAAATCCATCAACAGTGTGCTCTTGTTGCCAAGAAGGCTAACAGCATTTTGGGCTGTATAAGTAGGGGCATTGCCAGCAGATCGAGGAACGTGATCA